AGAATAGGATGGGATTCAACACTGACAAGTGCAAGGTGCTGCACCTGGGGGAGGAAGAACCAACACCATACCTACAGGCTGGGGAACTCCCTTCTCGTCAGTACAGAGGCAGAAAAGGATCTTGGAGTCATCATTGATGCCAAGATGAATATGGGCCGGCAGTGTGGGGATGCAGTCGGGAAGGCCAACCATAACCTGTCATGCATCCACAGATGCATCTCAAGCAGGTCCAAGGAGGTGACACTCCCCCTCTATGCAGCACTGGTCAGGCCGCAGCTGGAGTACTGCATCCAGTTCTGGGCGCCACGCTTCAAGAGGGATGTGGACAACATGGAGAGGGTTCAGAGGAGGGCCACTTGCATGGTCAGGGAGTAGCAGGGCAGGCCCTACGAGGAGAGGCTATAGGACCTGAACCTGTTCAGCCTCCACAAGAGAAGGCTGAAGGGGGATCTAGTGGCCTGTTACAAACTAGCCACAGGGGACCAGCAGGTATTGGGGGAGTCCCTGTTCCCCCGAGCACTACCAGGAGTGACTAGAAATAATGGCCACAAGCTGGCAGAGGGTAAATTCAGATTAGATGTCAGGAGGCGCTACTTCACTGTCAGGGTGGCTAGGATCTGGAACCAACTTCCAAGCGAAGTGGTGCTGGCTCCTACCCTGGGGGTCTTTAAGACAAGGCTTGACAATCACCTTGCTGGGGTCGTTTGATCCCAGTACTCTTTCCTGCCATGGCAGAGGGTCAGACTTGATGATCTGCTCAGGTCCCTTCCAAGCCTACTAACTATGAAACTATGATTCGGAACAGTGATTTAAATCACCGAATTGAATCACTGTCCCCCAAATCGGCCAAATCCAAAGTGAATGCTAGCTGTTTCACACAGGCCTAGTTACTACTACATCCTGGACTGTTTTGATATGCAGTAATTTGACCTTACTTGTGAATTCATAATTTCACAATTCACTTGTAGCTTCAAAAACCTAAAGACTAAATTACTTATGCAACAATATCACCTTAACTGCCATTTCCAGTTTTAGCTCTATAATGCCAGAAAAGTCTTCCCACCCTACCTTTTTCCCCTCACTGTCTTATTAACTACATGTGACTTAATTAAAAGGAAGATGCTGAAAGGAAGACTAAGGCTTATCCTTGCTGGGTAATTTACATGTTCTTAAAGCAAACAGGTAATTCTAAAGAGCAACTGTATCCTGGTTCTTTAATGGTTCTGGCTTATGGGTGTTCTGCACCTTGGTTTCTATGGCTACTTTGCATATAAATTTGTGATTCTTAAAGTATGAAAACACAATATGCTTGTTCTATGAATACTGGTCAAACTACATCTGCATCTCTGCATTTTACAGTATACAAAGCTGTCAAAGAAAACAGAACTAGCTTTTGGGGCCCCAAGGCATTTATAAACTCCATTTCAGGTGTGTTATGAGGGGATGAGGACAAAAGAGGAGTCTTAGCAATGTAATTGTGCAGTTATTCAGGTTTAGACACCGGCACATTCTTAGTCCTGTTCTAGTACTAAAATGTAAAATGCTTGGATGAATAATTACAATGCTCATAACATGAGACAGATACTACTTTTCCCCTGCTATTTTTAAACATGGGATAAGGATAATCAATTACAGTGTATCAGAACAGGCATACTAAGGATATACAAAATTGTGATACGGGTAATTGTGGGTAGAAACATAAAGTAGAAAACTAAGTAGTTTTATTGTAGGCTTTTACAATAGTTTGTTCGTCCAAGCATCCTCCTGTAGTGATACATCTGTCTTGGTCTCCTTTGCAGTCCCCAGGGTTTGCTTTGCTGTTTACTTCCCCCTCTACAGCAAGGGTCACCTCCCCTGCCACCTAGAAAAGGAAAGTTCTCTCTCCAGAGTCCAATTCAAACTATGATTCCAGACATAGCCTATTAGTAAATACCTGTCAGCAGTTCTCTCAAGAGGCAGACAATTTACAAATCTCTGTTCAAAGACAAGTTAAGAACAAGCAGTTCTCCAGCCTTTTTTTATTCCAAGATTTCCACTTAAGAATTAATTTCCACTTTCAATTCATATGCCTGTGTTCTTGAGCCTTTTGGCAATCCTGTGCTCTTCTTGGATTGCAGGACTTCTATGGTTTCACTGGAGTGTTCCACTCCCCACCCCTTTTCATCTTCAAGTCCCAACCCTGCTAAACTCCTTCTCAAGGAAAACTTCTTGAAGAATCAACCCACTTGTTCTTGGGTTGAACCTGCCCTGACTGAACTGGCTTTTCATTATCTGGAGCCTCTGCATGAGCCTTTCACTCAGGAGGATTCATATGCCCAGTCAGCTTTTTCAAGTCGTTTGAGCCAGCTCTCTTCCACAGTCTCCACCACTCTCCAGGTAACGGTTCAGCTCCTCATTTCTGCTTCTCTCTCTCAACTGCATCGTAAGTCTTTATAGTAGCCAGTACCTTCTACCAGGTCCTGTTGGGGGGCAACTGACAGGTGAACTGGACTAGTAGACCCTTAAATAGGGTCAGCCACCTTGTCATAGGTTCATTTTAAACTAGCTGTCTATCTACACATTACGAAATGAATAACCAAGAACCCTTAAACGCTATTTATGTTGAAAGACGGATATCATGGAGTGGAAAAGGTTGCATCTTACCTGTTAAAACAGTTGACCATTGCGCTTCCTGATAGACTCCCTGTTATACTAGCTCCAGCTAGTGCCATGGTGCTAGCAGTTTCACTCAGGTTATCTCGAATGGCTCCTATTCTATCCATATGGCTACCACTTGCACTCAGGCTGCCGGTCAGTCCTCCCACACTTCCTTCCCCTATGCTAGGGTTATGTCGTGCCTCTGCCACAGAAGTAGTATCTATGTAAAAACAGAAAAATATTGAAATTCATCAGAAACAAAGCTTTTATTCTGCCTTAAAATATAGATATGAAATATTGCTTCTGCAGTTACACGGAAAAGACCTGGACACAATCTAGATGATTTGTTGAAACATACTACAAACGTTTACAACATGAAGAAAAATCAGAACTTGTTTGAGACTGCCATAAAAGGTTGTGTTTGAGAAGTTGCTGGTAAGTTTCAAAGTATTGTAAGACTACATAGGAATGGTACTCTTGGGTGATCTTACATGCATCTTACCCTGCACCAGAAAAATCTTGCCCTTTATTTAAAAAATGCTAAGTTATAACTGTGACAGAAGAGGCCAAGAGGGCTGAGTTCTAGCCTGCTGTTTTTGTGGGGAATACTGGAGGGGGTTGCTCAGAGTGAGCATGGTTTGCCGTAAATTATCTTAAAAGTAGGACAATCCAGAAGCCCTTTCCATACCAAAGCAAGATAGCAGTCTGGACCTAACAGCAGGGTCTGAAGATTGCTCTCTGACTATGCTCCATTTTATTGGGTGAGCGTTGTCCCCAGGTTAAGACTACAGTTTTGTAACAGTTTGGTACAAAGGGTGGCTGGCAGTGCCTGAAGAGAAAGGGGGAGAAGAAAGGGTAGTGCCAGGGACGACTGTGGAGTCCAAGGAAGGAAAGAGGGAACTGCAGTGGCACAGTAAAAATTGTTTGTTAGGAGCCAAACAATGTGCTGTGCTGTCTGGGACATTGGCACTGTGGACCACCCCACCACACACACTAACAGAGAGAACAACCCCCTTCCCAGGAGTTGACCAAAAAGGAGCTCTCCAAGGTGGGCATGCTAAAGATCAGGGACTGAGAAAAGCCAGGGTCCCAAAGCCAAAGGCTTGGGTCTTGAGAAGCTGGCTCCAGGGGGTTCATTGAGGGGGAGACTGAATAAGGTTACTTCCTGGGGAGTCCCAAGGCAAAGCTCTTTCAAAAGTGGCACTGATTCTGTGACAATAACATTTCTGAAAGGAGCAGCAGAACAATTGCTAATAGATTTGCTTCTCCATAAGGAATGAAAGCTGACAGCATCTACGGAGAAATCTGCAAAAATACTCATTTTATATCTCCACTCTCAGCATAGAAGACCTATTATTATTTGGTTAGAACAAACAACAGCTTTTCTGTATTACTTCTTTTTTAACTCTGTTGAGAGACAGAGAAAAGTCTCCGTTTTCCCACCACCAGCCGGACCCAAGCAAAGTTTGAGATCCTTCATGTGGGCCCCCTGAACTCATGCATAACCTCATCAGTTACTTCAGGGATCCATGTTGGACGCAATTATTCAATATAATGCAGGTCTTTTGGGGTGGGGTGGGGTGAAGGGGAAATGAACTGTTGAAAAAGGTCTGGTAACATATAGAGCATTTTTCATGTTCTTATACAACCCAGGCTAAAAAAAGAAAGCTTTCACTTAATGCACTACTGGAAGATACTATAGAGTATGGAGGACCTACAGCATAAAAACATTCAAAGAAAAAAGTATGATAGAAGCTTGGCTGCTTCACTCAATGCCCAAAAAGACACCACTGCACTGGCATAGAAACAACTGAATAACCCTCATCCCAGGAGACTTTCCTGTTACAGGCCATGGAGATAAACAGGCAAGAGATGACTTGCATAACTGTTATCTGCATAGAACTTTTCCTGCAAAGAAAGGTCTCTCATGCCCAAAGCTGTCAAATCCAGAAACTAATTGCAAAGCCCTACATTTACAAAAAATAAAATGCTGAATCTTCTTACCTACGGCTGCATTTGTTCCACCAACATTTATATCATTTTCATCATCAAATTCTATCCTGACACCCTTTCCATTGCCTGCAGACACACCACAACCTCCACTTCGACAGAGGGAGATAGGAACAACTCCATACACATAAGCCAACATAATGGGAACACCAATACCTATAAAGAAAAATATTAAGTCCTCATATTTAAATATAACTCTTTTATCCAGTATTTTGCAGAAAAGCAATCAAAATATGCAAATATTATCTGATCATGCACATAATAAAATTGGAGCACGGAGGAAGAAATGAAGAAAGCTTAGTTTTCAGATTAAATTTGGAAGTAGGTGGAAAGTCATTAAGATGGTATGAGACTTGCAAGTTGTTCCAGACAGTAGGTCCCCACTAGCAGTGAGATACGCAGAGAAGCAGAGGGCTGCATTAACACAACATACATGCTATATCTATTACCTCATCATTTACAAACACATTCAAAATATATCACACTTCAAATGACTAAACAAACTTTGTCTAAGAATACTGAAAACTATTTACATGGGAAAGCAGCATGAAGCTATGTCAAACATCTTTAAAAACAGAAATGCCCACTACTAGTGCTTATAATTGTGGAAGTAGATTTGATCGGGCTTCTGGCCTGCTTGACTAGGAAAACAGACAGAGACCAGAAGTGCTGATACTGCTTATTTCCGTTACATGTTCTGAGATAAGGAATCCTGCATGCCTTATTACCCTGTGCACAGATGTTTTATTTAATTAAACTGCCTGCATGTCTGTAATTTACTGTCATTTTGTTTCTCCAAGGTCGTATTTTTTTCTTTCTATGTCTTAAGTATAAATATGTTTGTAAACTTATAGAGTAGGAGGATTCCTTTGAAACAGACAAGTGGGTGATTCCCCTTGCTGTATGGAATTCTCCCTATGATTGCAGTATAGCCCTAATTAAAGAAAAGCTGGCTCTGTCAGTTCTGATTCAACCACAACGCAAAGTTTAATTTCTTCCACATAATTAAGGGCTCAGCCCTGCTCCCACTGAAGCCGGAAAAAGCTTTACTAGGGACTAGCAGAGATGAGCTCAGCCCTCACTATAAGTGTTACTGTGAGATCTGCTCGTTTACTGTGTCCAATTCATTTTCAAATTTTCTCATTTTGTACATAGAAACAAAACTGCTGAGAAAAGCCAATGAAAGGTGCATTTAAAAAGGCTGGTCTGGATTAGGCTATACTACCATTGCACCACTTCTCACATATTGTGGGAACTCATCATTTGGTATAGACAATCAAGCACTGTGAATTAGACCATTTGACTGCCTTGCTGATGGAAGCCTGTGAAAGGATAAAATGGCAGGCAAAGCTATGCCAGATGAACACACTGAGGGAGCCAGCAGGAATAAACTAAGTTCATAAATGCCCAAATAAAGAAGGTCAGATTCCAAGCTCCCTGCCCTGGAAGTCAATGCTGCTGCAGGGTTGAGGCAGTTTGGGGCAGCTCTGGTGTTACTACCAGGCAGCTAAGGGAGTCAGGAGTCTGTTTATGTCCCATTGTTCTCTACTTCACAGGTGTAACCAATCATCTCCCCATTTTAACGGTCATTCCAATAATCAAGCCATCTTATTTTAGAGCAATTTTGTTGTCTGCCAGGTCTTCCTTTTTCACACCTCATGCTGCTATGCCTCCCCACACCCAGGATGTTCATTTTTATTTTCATCAACCAGCTGGGATTAGCCTCTGAATTCTGGGACTGTTCCACCTAAACTGGGACGTATGGTCACCAGCGTTCCCTCTAAGCTGCGTGACATGCACAGCCACACAAGTGTGCTCATGCCATGCTGCCAGGCGCACCTGCGTGGACGTGCACGCCACACAGCATGAAGAGAATGCTGGTCATGCTAAGTATAGGGAGTGTACAGCTCTAGCACAGGAATAGAGTCCAGACTAATGAAGTTCCACATTTAAAAAAGTTATTCTCCCCATCAAATTGTGTAAGATGTTTTTATGTTTAATTTTTCTTTCACTCCTTGAAGAGACACCTTAAAACATCTGGTTTGGGATCCAGCATACAAAACTTGGATCTTTTCTTCCTATACATCAGGCAACAAAAACAAAGGTTTTACAAGCCAAAATGTGTGCAGCTCTGCTTTTTTTAAAATGCTGTTTGCAATAACACCTATGGAGAAGTTGAGAGAAAGGGAAACAGCTCTGCTTAACCATCAGTGACAAAATCTGGCCATGCAGTGTCAGATATTTAAGCACTGTTAACTTAAAAAAAACCCTTTTAACTAGAGCTACCTTGACACAGAATCAACAAGACAAACATATGGATCTCCAGCTGTCTTCAGATAGAGACACTTTTAAAAAGCAGTCTTTTCATTTCCTTTTCATGGAAGAAGATTGGGTTTATGAAAGACTGGGTTTTTGATTGCCTCCAGACTATTGGAAAATTGTAAGATTAAAAGCATTGTAAAGGTTTTATTGAGGTGTAGCCCTCCCCAAAGGCTGCACTCTATTATCTGCTTTTTTCAGTTCACAATATAACCTTGGTCAATCTATCCTTTCAGTCTCCCTAGCTGTAAAAGGAAGCTAGCTTCTCCTAATTCACTGTACACGACAATTATGAGCAGTTGTAAAGAATTTTCAAACCTTAGTTTCTAGGTACTAGCAAAATGCAAAGCAATAGTATTGGCTTACCTACAGTTACTGCAGCTACAACTGGAGAAACAATTACAGACAAGGTTACACCACCTGCGATAGCCAGGTTTCTCTTGTGCTTCGAAATGTCTTTTCCTTCATAGCGATTGTGAATCTTGAGAGGAAAAAAAAAAAGTGTTCAGGATATATTGCAAATGCTGATAAACAGCTGTAGGGACGAAAGATGTCACAGATAATTTGGGCTCTGCTCTGCTATTATGCAATGTTGTGCCTTCAAACAAAGACTATATACTACTCATTTATATCCTGATATAGTCCCTCTTAAAAAGGGGTACTTATCAAAGAGGAAGGACACTCATCTTCTTCTTAAGGTTTTATACAAGTATCTGCAGAAAGTATGCATATACTCAGTCTTACAAATATGATTTCTGAATCCATTTGAAGACAAATTATTAATATTTCTTGCTCTCAGTGATCTTTTTTCCTGAATATTAGAGCAATGACAAAACTGCTTTCAGATGTTTTAACAGAACAAGGAATGAAAAACTGCTACAGCAGCACTGCCTTCAAGCTGAGACACCAGGAGGCCAGAACTGTTTGTGTATACTTGTTAGGATAAACTTTCGAGTTAAGTGTGTGTGTTGGCTAACACTGTTCTTATTGTGTTTCTATTTATCAAGGGGTTTGGCAGGGTTAAAACCCTTACTGATTGTCTGCTCTACAGGACTTTGGAAATTTGACTGTCTACACCCATCTGCAGCAACCAAATGAACAAGGTTTCCCAATTAGCTGTCTGTTACTTGACATCACTTTTGAGGCTGAGGCTATAATTCTAAAATGATAATACTACTCTACTTTGAAGGTCTGTTATGAGTGTAAGTTAATATATGAAAAGCACTCAGTGATGGCGACTTCTAATAACATGGGGCAAGACCTGTTCTAACCAGAAACATCAGACAACAGTCTTCCTTTCTTCCCCTCTTCTCTGGGAGGGTGCAAGTAGTATATTAGAACACAGCAGCAGGCACTTCATGAAAACAATGGTAGCAGAAAAGTGAGAAAAAGGGCTGAAAAACTGGTTGGGTAGAACTGCATCACCACAATTCTAAACCAGAAGTAGGAGTCTATGAATAGGAGAAGAAAAGGAAAGAAAGGCACGACAGTCTTTTGGATCAGCAAGAAGCTGACTGGCAGGAGTGTGTTTGGATTAATTCAAACTGACAAATCAGACACAGAGTAGCCTTAGGATTTAAGCGACAGTACAATTAATGTGAAGCATTAAACTACGGAGCAGTGTGAGCCAGAGTTAACTGCTCCTGGGTGCAGCGTCTAACTTTGCGCCTGGGACACCAGCAATATGAGCTGGGAAGGAGCAGGCTCACAGCTGGCTGGGCTGACAGGACACAGTTTACTCCCACGGTCACTGGCTAACATGCATTTCAGCACAGCAAACTGCTACTCTGTACTTGGGACAGTACTATCTTACAGCAGAGTTAATTAGCTTACTACACCCTAATACTGGTGCACACGTAGACGGTGACCCTTTACTATAGACCTAATTTAGTCTACTCTGCAATAAAGCACATGTGTAGATATACTCACTATAGCATGATTAACAGTTTTAGCATTTTAACTCTCCAAAATCACCCATTTCAGAAGGCCCATTTGCATGGGACTTTGGTAAATTAATATTTGACCAGGAATCCCATCCAGCTGTGGCTATAATTAAGGAGACCAGGGATGGAAGATTCAGTACTTGTTAAAAAAAAGCCAGCTGGGTGCCCAAATAAGGATTTAAAGGATAACTTTCCAATATTTTGGTCTGCATGTATGTACAAACAGAAGCCACCCTTAAACATCGTTTATCTCTGAAATGAATCACTTCATGTATTTGGGAAGGGACGATGAAAGGAGCTAACTGGAAGTACATAACTGTACCCTTTGTAAATATGCTGCATTTAATATCAGAATGTAAAATCTGAAGCAAGAAAAGAGACAGAATGCACTTTACCTTACGTCCCACATACACAGGGATCCCAATGATCATAGCAGGAATGGCAATACCAGCTATTAAAGCAATCCCTACAGGAGCCCCAACAAGTGTCCCCAGTTGCCACAGTATTTTCTTTTTACGACTCCATGGTTTCTTTCCCCAAAAAGTACAACCTGATGGGCTAATACAAAGAAACTGTAAGTAACTCCAAAGGAGTAGCTTCAAACAAAACCACGTTAATTATTGTTTGATAGGCCAATAGCTAGTACAATTCAAGTTACATATACTGGAAATACTCAGTCCATCAACGATTACTTGAGATACAGTATTGTGCAAAACACTGGGTGCATCTACATGTGCCATTAAGGCAATACGATAAATTACATGTATGCCTGGGACCACAGCAGTTTGAGCTGGGGTGGAGAAGACCTGGGCTGCTAGAGGGCTTGGCGGGTCAGCCCCGAGCTTCAGGTGGTGGTGTTGGGGCTGGCTGGTGCACAAAGGTGCAAAAAGTGCAGGGCTAGAAGGCAGGCAGCCCCTGCCCCACTTTAGTACCCTCCTGCCCCAGCCAGCCCATCACTGTCAACATATGCATTTCAGCACACATAATTACTCTGCCATAAGATAATACCATCTCTGACAGTACTATACCACAGCGGAGTTAATTTACTGCACCCTAATACCAGCGTGTGTGTAGACTGTGATGCTTTACTGCAGAGTGAATGTCAACTCTGCAGTAAAGTGCACAAGTAGCTGCACCTACGGAGTGCTACCACATACCACCTTGTGCTGCTACTAACTCAAATCATTCCCCCTCCTTACACAAACAATATCAGGTTAACAATAAAAAAAAACACAACATGACACCACCAAACAACAATAAAATTATTATTAATCGTATGAAAAGTATTGCACTGTGCTGTACTGAGTTTGGTTGCATCCATCTTTCAGCCTGAACCAAAAGGAATAGAAAATTAAACATTAAACAAATAAAATTAACAAGTTATATAATTATGCACCTACATGGAAAAATTGATGCATTTCACTTCTCATGAAGAGTCACAGGAGCCTGGATTCTCTGCTCCAGTAGCGAGTGAGATGGCCTTAGGGCTCAGAGAATCTGACCCTAGATATTTTAGGACAGGCACATTTGTCTAAATAGAACTTTCGGAATGTGCACTAACCTATAATGACCGCTAAAGGACTTCTGAAATTACATGAAGCCAAAGAGGGGGGCACTAAAGTAACATAAAATCAGTAAACAGAGATTTTATGAATTATGTATGTTCAGCATAAATCTCTCATATGTGCTGTACCTGTTCTATTTCAAAACAAATATTTTTTCTAAACATACCTTAAGTAATGCAAATCTGAGATCTCTTTCATACACAGCCAACAGAATTCACAACCACAGACAGCACAAGTCATATGATTGCAGCTTCCATCATTCATTTTTATTATGTAAGCAGCACATCGTGGACATGGCTTTATGTCATCAGCTGTTTAAATGAAACAAATATTAAGATCATACCCTTTCTATGCAAAAAAATCAACTGAAACAAAAACAAGAAATACCAGCAAACCTGACTGATCAATAAGATGAGAAGCAGATGCATCTAAAAACTTTAGTATGAATTTACTTTAATAAATCCAGTTTTGCAGGTGATTTCTGCTCATGGCCACTTTGATTTGTATGGTTCAGACCCTAAATACAACAGAACTAATCACAATGACAAGTAGAAACCCAGTGTAATGCTTGAGTAACCACATCACTTAACATGGACAGCAAGGATTTTCTAAACCTAATGCAACAGATATTAAACATGCACATAAACAAACACTACTGATGCAGGCAATCTCTGCATATAAACATCTTGTCATATTTTAGACTGATATAAGTAATTCTTGTCTTTTGCCCCATTGTTTTATTTCTCTCTTATATTTAACATACATTTTCCCTATCATTCCATATCTTTTCTTCTTTTTCACTAGTCTGCTCTTGATTTGCCCCCATAGCCACCCCCTCAGCTCTTGCACCCTTCTTCCCACATTAACTTTATAGAAACATATTAGCATCTGTGCCTTAATATATTATCGAAACAAATAAGTATCTGTGCAGTGCTCACAACTGAGCTTTAACACTGAAATACATACAGCTAAAGGGTTTTTCTGTTGATGAGAAGTGAGGGCACTAAATAAAAATGAGTATGTTCTAAAGACAGCCTTAGACAGGAAAATACAAGCTCTCCCTTCTGTTTTAATCTTAACCATTTCCTTGCTCATATTTAGAATGATGGGTTGCTCACTGATCACAGCAACATAAGTCACATGCAAATCCATCACCCACTGTTGAGCTGGTCAGAAGTTGCCAGTCCTGCACAAGGCAGCCAACAGATTCTGTTGCAATAAATTTATTGCCCCAGTCTCTCTCAACACCACGGAGGTAGTGAAAAATGAGTGGAAGACTGAAGGTCTGCTGGGGTACACCTGGCAGAGAGGAGTCTCCCATAGATCAGTAGTCACAATAGACAGTTCCTACACCATCCTTGCCACCAGCTCCAGTGCATGCTCAGGAGAGGCAGCAAGCCAAATTTGATGTACTCTAGCTATTTATTCCCAGATGGCATTTAGTCATTATGGATCTATATTCTTATGGAACAAATCAGTGCAGCCCTAGTGGTTGGATGAGAGAATCAGGAAGCTGTAACTGGACCAAAAACGCAACAGAAAATCCTCCACAATACAGGAGTGAGGTATGCCAGCAAGAGGGTCTGATCTGATGAAACTGTGATGGATACAGCATGCAAGTGTTGGACATATTGCCCCACCGATTAGTCACACTCATCCTCCTACCTTGGCGAGAGATAAAAGGACTTGATTTTTGGAAATCTGAATTTTTTGATTACTAGCTGCCCAACACTGAAGCATTTTACTGGCAACCTAGATATCTCCCTCATGCTGAGGCAGCAGTTTATTTGCTTTTATGCTAACAGATGTGGATGCTGGTAACAGAGTAATTTAAAATGCATTAGTCTTTTCTGAACACCAGCAACCTTTCTGCTGTTTGAGTTTTATTTACACCAGCATTTATTATTAGAAACCTTGCAAAAACTCAGGCTACAGAGATGATTTGTGTTTCAGTTGCTGAGTTATGCAGCTAGGACAAAATGGTCCAGCCAGCAAGCAAAACCTTGCAAATCCCTGGCTGCAAGAACTATGCACTTTGGAGCGATAAAATAACTAAAACAATAAAAAAAATCTTGTTACAAATCAAAACCAGCAGCTCCTAACCCACACAATTTCATCATTACTGGAAACCAAACATTTCCTGTGCCTGGACAACTCAGCATTTTTCTTAATCTGAAGCTATATTCATATTTTATATTTCCACAGCACACATAAGAGTTACGAGGAATGAGGAGCTGGGATAACAATCAACAGCCATCAGACATTTCTTTCCTCTGAAATATCAAACATGTAAGTAGTTATATAAATGTACCAGTAAGACATTTTACAGATACAGTTCATAAATACCTGCTGCTCCTGACTCCTGGCTATAACTAATAGATGAAGAACGAATTGTTCTCAAGCGTAGACTTTGGGCTCTCTCTTGGCGAGCAGCGTCACAGGTCTGGTTTGGATGCCAAATCTGTTTACAGTGATAGCAGAACTCAGTTCCACAGCCTTCACGTTCACAAGTAAGTTTGGGACAGCTGGCACAGCCAAAAGCGATCACAGCATATCTTAAAATGATCAAGAAGCCAGGAGAAAGACTGTTAATACATAATTTCCATCTGGTGACAAAAGCTTGCACTGTAGCTAAAGAAATAGCTTCATGATGTCCTGCTGCAGTGGGAAGAAAGGAGATAAAATGGGGCTATCCACAAGGCCTGCTTCTCACATTGCAGCCAGAACTGTACTGAGAACACAAACCCTATCCAGGAGCACTAGGAGCCATGCAGCACCTGCCCTGCCTCTTCCTCCCCACCCCATGCCATAGGAAGAAAGCAAGACAGATGAAAATCTACAGAGCTGTGACAGGAACAGCTTAAGCAGGTACAGATGGGCACAATTAGTATGTTCTTCAGTTTTAACTGAACACAAAACTCAGTCTGTCCCAAAGCCCTTCCTAGCCCCGTCTTATAGTTTCCTTCTCCATCCTAACCTTCATTTCCTCCTCCTTTCCCTTTTTGCCTCACTGTCCTTCCTTTGTCTGCATTTCCCTCATTCCCTCCTAACTGCCCCCCTTTTGCTTTAGGGATTACAGTTTCAGGTTTACATTCAGTTATCCGGGTCTTTCCCGACATATTGTCCTTCTCTCACTTCTAGATCTGTTGTTTTTGTCCTGTCCTCCATCATGTTCCACTTGCATTTTTTTCTGGCTTTTGGATGCTAAAGCTTTATCTCAGGCTGCTGTTTATGTAGCCTTGAAGTTTCAATACCAGGATCCTGGGAAATTTCCAAGCTTGTGCCACACAATGATACTAAATATATTAAGTTTTGTTTGGAAAGCAAGGCTTCTGTTTTTCCATATTGCCACTAGGGTTACAAAAGCATGTCTGGCTTTTACTATTCTGATTTTAATGCCTTCATCAGCTCCACCTGGTTTGCCTACAATGCTGCCAAGATACATAAAGTGTCCAACCTCTTCTGTCATTCCCAAAATCTGTTGTTTTTCCCATGTAGGGTTGATTCTCAGTTTCTCATGGCTATTTTGTTTCAACACTGATTTTCAATTCCACTGAGCGTGTGTAGGTCCAGAGGTCATTCACTTCAGCTTCTATGGTCTCCTAAGGTGTGGCACAGGAGACCGATATCTGCAAAATCTAGGTTTTTCAACCTCTGTGTGGGAGCTCATCACACTGTTCTTCAATACCTGATCCACTACCAAATAATAAACTCATGGGAGACATAAGGCATTCTCATCTGATGTCTATAATTACCTCTAGCAGTTTGGCAGTTCACTGTTACTCAGTTATGTGACATGTCAGATTTTCAAAATTTCTGAGGGACCCATAGTGGCATGGCAACTTCCATTAGACCCTTCTATTGATGGCATCGGGGGCTTTTTGAGTCTGTGAAATACACAAGGAGTAACAGCTGCCATTCAACCAAGTACTCTAGGTCAACACACAGGGTAACTATGTATATAGTCAAAGTAAGATTTCCTCATCTAAAACCAGTCATGGATATACTGCTTCCTCTAATCCAACTAAGGGTGTGGGGACACTATACATTACTAAGTCTATTTTAGATTTTATTCTGCGGTAAAGTGATAAGGCAAGGACACATGAGCAGTTCACTCCCAAGCTAGCTTCCTGCAGCAAGCACTATTACAGCACCTTGCCAGTAGACTGCAGGAAATCTGGTTTACACTGAGCAAGTAGCTACCCTATGGTTGTAATTTACTAAGGGAGGGATGGACATACAACACTTACTCCATGGTAACAAACCTTGAAATAAAAGTTCCAGAAGTGTTTTTGTAGGGTAATTTCACAGTGGAAAAGAGAAGCGTACTCTGTAGGAATGCTCTGTCTGCTCCACTACAAAGTAAAATTTGCTGGGGGAAGGGAGGGGGCGCGGGGGAGAAAGAGAGGAAGAACACCCAACGCTTAGCAAAAGGAGCCCTCCCTCTTCCCCTCCCCATTCCTGAGGGAAGCAGGGTCTAAGCGCTATTCTAATACAAGCAAGCAAGCAAGCAAGCAAGCAAACAAACTGATCCACCCCATGCTGCCAACACACCTCTTTGTAAGGCAGAGGAAGCTGTCTAGCCCACCCCCCTCCCCACTTTTTCCCACCCCTGGGCAAAGGTCCATGACCAGCATATTTTGCAGACTCCCTATAAAGCAGCTTGCATTCTCTCTCTCATTAATCTCACACCCATCAGCCTGTGCTCAAACAGTATTATATCTTTTCTGCTGCATTCAGAATACACGAGTAAGGAGTTGTCTTGCAAGGCTTTTCATACATTGCACTGACAGAGATTAAGTTACTGGGTCATTTGACTGATGAACTGTTTTGCATACAGTTTCTCACTACACATGAAACATTTATATAGTAGGTGTATAATTCCTGTAGTTATTAAACCATTTTAAAAATCTAAAGACTAGAGCCATACTCAGTGGGTTAGTCCCTTCAGCATAACCATACAGTTTTGTTTTTACAGTTAAAACGACATTCACACTGCTACACAAAACCAACAAAACCAGCACACAAGAGTAACAATAGCAAAACAGACGCTGCAACAAGAGTGCTCCAAGTTCAGATCTTTTCTCCAGTCAAGAGTCAAAGGTCAAAAGTACTGAATAAGCCTGTCAGACTTGAAGAGCAAAGGAAGAGAAAGCAGCATCTCAAATTGCTGTTTTGCTGAGCCACTCAAAGAAAAATGATGACATGTTTCAGGTGTCACTGAAAAATTTACTTCAATCCAACTTTGCTGGAAAGGGTCTGTCTGTCTATACATTGACCTGGAAATGGGAAACGCTGTAACTAACATTCACAGCCATTAAGCAATACTGAAAACCTGGGGTTGCTTTTATTCAAAAACAGGATGTGCTTCAACACTGACAAGTGCAGGGTGCTGCACTTGGGCAATAGTAACCAGCAGCACACTTATAAGATGGGAAACTCCCTTCTTGAGAGCACAGAGGCAGAAAGGGATCTTGGAGTCATTATTGACTCCAAGATGAACATGGGTTGACAATGCGAGGTCACGGTTGGCAGGGCTAACCGGACCTTGTCGTGCATCCACAGGTGCATCTCAAGTAG